TTCCAGCCTCTACAGTTCGAATCTACCATCGACAGTACCCTTTCCCGTGTTTAGATTAGTTAATTCATCACAACGAATGAATTGGTACTTTCCAACTTGCTCAAGTACCAATAATAGGCAGCCCTTGTGCGAACGGAGCCCTTTCTGGAAAATTGTCCTGCACAGATAGGGAATCGAACCACTCCCCTTCATGTCCAGACGCAAAGCGTTACCACTACACCACCGGTCCTTGTACTTCATATTCAAACCTTGAAGCACATCTACTGTGTTTCTGCCTTTCAAGGCAACATGCCTCTTTTGTTTCTTTATGGCGACTTCTTGGTCGGCTTTTAGCGGGTTTTCCATGACACTTCCGCCACAGAAATGCCGCAGCCCATAAACCCGCGAAGGACTGCGCCACGAATATTGCTTGCCGCATTCCCACTAATGCACCATGTCGCGAACGTAGCTCTTTCTCGAAAATTGTTCTGGACCGGTGGTGTAACGGTAACACGTTGCGTCCGGACGTGAAAAGGAATGATTCGATTCCTTTCCAGTCCAAAATAATTTTCGAGAAAAGGCTTCGTTCGCGGCAATCCTCCGATCTTGCTTTGAGCTTTTTCGGTATATCCTTTTATTTTCATTTATGTAGCACTTTTTTTGCTTCATTTTTTGCTGCCACATATCTTTCGTTATTCAATAGATTTCTCATCTGCATACACATTCATATTTCGTCTGCTCTCAGTTAACACCGAAATCATCTTAATGATGATTTCTAGTTGTGGTGCTGAATAGAAACGTATACAGCTTTATGGACCGAAACATTCCACGCTTCAGTTGATTAATATTTTTCTTTTTTTATATAAATTATATTTCATATACATCATCACTGATATCTCTGCATCATAAGCAACTCTCAGGAGACGAGATAATAATTATAATAATTTTATTATAGTGATTTTATCAAAAATTTACTAATTTTACTAATTTCATAATTCTTATTTTCCCGCTTTCCTCTTCGATCCTCCTTATTTCAATATACCTTTCTATCCATTGACAACCAGCGAGTGGTGATTGTTGTCAAAGTGATGTTTGGCTATTTCTTGGGTATATTCCTGGTAACTTCGTTTTATCATGGCATTATTTCAGGATGTCCAAAAAGTCTGGTGAAAAAGCCTTCAGCGGCAGGGCCTGGAGGCACGAAAATGGTAATTGTCTTGATTGATGCCTGGCAGGAGCAGTTTTTTTTCAACAGGCAAGAAATGCGTTTTTTACGGCAAATT